TAAATCAACACCACAGTTAACAAAATGTTTAGATTTGATTTGCATTTTGAACAATAAAGAAGTGGTCGTTCGATGATGATGTTTGTGGGACTCACTGTTCGGCGATGATGTAGCCGTCCTCTACGGGCGCACATCTGACACCCGCCACCTCAACATTATCCACCATGTCAGAGAAGGTCAGACCGAGGTTTGTGCCGTAGATGGTGACCCGGGTTCCTCCCTCTGGGGGTCCAGCCACTGGAGTCACCTAGAGGGTTTAAACAAACATCCATGATGTCAAATTCAATGTATTACCGTATTTTCCGGACTGTAAGCCGCTACTTTTTTCCCACGCTTTGAACCGTGCGGCTTATAATGAGGTGCGGCTTTCCTGAAGGTTTTCCTTCTCCTGCCACTAGGAGGCGCCTTAGCAGAAAGTGAAACAGGTGGAAGTCAAAAGTGGAAATCGAAGAAAGTGCTCATTTTAATTTAGCACATGCAAGCAGCCGGCACGACGGAGATTTTTTTTTCAAATCCATACCCCCTCATCATGGTAACTACACGTATGAGTTCATATGATGCCGCATTTAAGTTGAAGGCCATCGATCTGGCAGTAAAGGAGGGAAACAGCGCTGCCGCACGTAAGCTTGGCATGAATGAATCCACGGTTCGGCGCTGGAGACGGCAGCGGGAAGAACTCATTCAAGCCAGCTTCACCCGGGGATGATGACAGCGACACGGACAGCGACGCTGACATCGCCACAGAAAAGGTATGTGACGAAGCTCTTCTGAGGCTGTTCAACTCCGACACTGAAGAAGAGGACTTTAATGGCTTTAGTGCGCAAGAGGAAGATGAGAGCGAATGACTTTTTCTGGTAGGCAAGTGTGTTTTATGTACTAACCAGGCATGTTTTGTGCGCAGTTTTTATTTTCTAATCATCCAGGGCTTATTAATGCTGAGTCAGCGCTGTTCTTTTCTTCTAAATATGCAAATTACCGGTAATAACGTGTCAGTGCTGTTTTTATTTTATAACCATCCTGAAATGTGAATGCTATCAGTGCCGTTTTCTTTTCTAAACTTGCAGGCACGTTCACCCATGTTTAAAATTCGTTTTGTTGAATTAAAACAACAACGAAAAACCTCCGTGTAGCGTCTTTCTTTCTAATTGTTAGTGGTGGTCAGAGGGGCCGACGGCGCACAATGGCAGCCTCGCCTCTGTCAGACCTCCCCAGGGTGGCTGTGGCTACAAGTAGCTTACCATCACTAGCAGTGTGTGAATGTGAGAGTGTGTGAAAGCATCTTTGGGTGTCTAGAAAAGCGCTATATAAGTTCAATGCATTATTATTATTATTATTATTATTATTATTATTAATTATCTCATCTTATGACCGTACATGCGCTGTGTGCCGGAGACCCGTGTGTGGCTGCTGCGCCGCGGCTTGTATTCGAGTGCGGCGTGAGTGTGTAGAAAACTTTTTTTTTGTTGGTGCGGCTTTTATTGAGGTGCGCTCTATAGTCCGGAAATTATGGTAATCTTAATAAAATGTTCTTGTAAATTTTTTTTTAACTTTGCATGATTTTACAAAACCATTGAGAATTGTCGATTTGTCTAAAAGGTGTGTTTGTTTGTGTTGTTTTTTTTTTAGATTTACTCCTTATAATAGATGCTGACATCCTCCAGATCTTTAAACAGTTCAGCTGCATTTTCATTAAGGGTCGTGGAGAAACGGTTTTCTGGGTACACCATAAGTTTCTAACTGGTGATTTTTAACACTTTTGAATACCAATTAGAGGCTAAATAGAAACCATTAAAATAATGTTGCATGACCAGCAGGTCTTAGCTGTGCTCATACGTGTCATATTCAGTCGTGTCATCTGTAAACACAGTATTTCTAAAATTCATAAACCTACTTTACAACAAGTAAAGTGTAATTATTTGTATTTATGGCTCATGGATTTATTCAACTCCTGTTTTATTTCACATACCAAATACAGTACAGAGGTTGTAGGGAAAGAAATTGGCAGCACTTCATGAAAACACAAATCTTTTGAGTTTAATTTAAAGTAACAATAAACAGTTTTTAAACTTTGACACAGTGGCTAGTGCTGAGTTCTGGGTTCAAATCCCAACCTCGAGTCTTTCTGCTGGGAGTTTGCGTGTTCTCCCTGTGCGTGCGTGGGTTCTCTCCGAGTACTCCGGCCTCCTACCACGGTTCAAAAACATTGACTGTCAGGTTGTTTGGTTTCTGAAAACTATCCTTAGGTGTGTGTGTGAGTGCGTGTGCATGGTTGTTGGTCATGTGTGTCTCTGTGTTGCCCTGCAGTGGACTGGCAATCTGTCCAGGGTGTACTCCGCCTGCATGCCCAGAGACCGCTGGAGATAGATAAGAAGATGGATGGATGGATGGATGGATGGATGGATGGATGGATGGATGGGTGGATATTTATATAGTCACACACAAAACAAGTTTTAAAACTCTTTCTAGGTTGCAGTTCCTTTCCAAAGAACCAAGCCCACACCAAATCAGAAAAAAAAGGACTTCATGTTGACATAAGGGGGATTAAAACATAGCGGTATAACTGCATGATCAGCATCTACTGGTGCAGCCATTACATCTAACAAGGTGCAATATCAATGCTTCGAGCAGCGCACCTCCCCATAAACTGCAATATGGCCGCCCAGCATGACCTTGGCACAGAGTGGCATGGTGCCTTCTGTGCTGCAGAGTCCCCGTCAAGGCTCAGATTTGGAAAGCATCCAGGAGTTGAAACAAAGAGAATACAAGTCGACAAGGAGGAAACAAAAGTCAGGAGGGAGAGTAAAAAAAAAAAACACACCAAATGAGCTGAGCCTTGTGTGGTGGACAGGGAAGTAAAAGAGGAAAAGCTGAGAGTGGAAAAAAGAGGAGGTCAGCAGGGAGGGAATGACTGTCACTTTGCTGTGTGTGGCTGCTAGTGCTATGTAAACAATCAATATGCTATTACTGGCCATGCAAGCACGCGAAAAAACAACAGTTGTACTCACTCAGTGAGCGGTAAAGCACCACATAATAGCAACCTTTTAAGAGGTGCTGTGCACCCTCCCCTTCCTTACCCCCGACACCCATCAGGGCACCGCAGCTCCCCTGTGGGATGCCGACATTGTAATCTAGATTCAGTGGACATTAATTGTTCTGGATGTAAAGTAAGTGTGTCACTGCACCGCCCGAGGGCTCAGAATACATGCATCTTTTAGCACTGCTTGAGCATGCAGGGAATAGAAGGGTGGGGGGGACATAGTGGCTAAATATATCCATGTCATCTACTGGAGTAGACTTAGAGAGGGTTACGTAAGCAACACAACGGCCTGAGAGAGAACAGCAAGGAGAAAGAGGGAGAGGAAAACTACTCGGGACCTAATGAAAAGGGAGCAGAGATGGGAGAGAACAGAACATGGAATGAGAGAGTGGAGAAGAAAAACTGGATTTAGCTCCATTCATAATAATAATAATAATAATAATAATAATAATAGCCTTTATTGTCATTGTACAGGATACAACGAAATTGGAGTGCCACTCCCTTGGTGCATAATACAATGATACTTATAAATATAAAAGGTACCCTAAAACAAAACAATAGTAAGTACAATTTATACCGAATAGCACAATATATACAGAATAGCAGCTAAAATATTATGTATAAAATGGCATTAGAATAGCAGCATAATAGTTGACGGTGACCTTGACAAGTCGCTAAGCAGTTTTAATTGTTTTATGCTTATTCACTATAGAGATCGCCCTGGGAAAAAAGCTATCCCTGAATCTGCTTGACCTGGTTTTATGTGACCTGTACCGTCGACCTGATGGTAATAGTTGAAAGACTTGATTGCTGGGGTGAGACTGGTCCTTGATTCAGTCCCCTAAGCTAAGACAGGTGACAGGTGAGGCCAGTGTGGTGACAGGGCAGCAGTGCTATGCCACAGATGGACACACTAAAAGCTTGGGAGACCTCCTCTTTCTAGCCTTGAGGCTGACATAGAGCCCTTCCCATGGTGGAATAAGCACAGGAAGACAGTCTAATCCATGCATGAAACCCATTTGACTGAGCTGCCTACTGGCAGTCAGAGCCTTGATTCATCAGCATCACAGAAAAATCAACCACTTCAAAGGCACACGCCACCAATGTCTGCAGGCTCAGAGACACGAGCAAGGCAAGGCTCTTTGTCTCTTATATACACAAAGGGGCTAACTCTATAATGGATCCGTACCATACATGTTTGATCGTCTGTGAACCTGATTCTTAAGGCTTTTACACACCGGAGGGAACCCAGGGTAGTCGTATTCTGTATTTATCGTCCTCTTTGCATCTTCTGCCTTTTATCATGTCATGTATCTCCAGTTGGTGACACGTCTTCCTTCTTCAGGAAGCCGTTCGCTCTTTCATTCTGCCATACAGACCACGTTGAGGGAATAGGAAGCCTGATTGGACATGCATGTGCACCCTGCTGCCCTTATTCCCCCCGTTCCCACCCAGTGCTCCCATTCCACGCTCCCTGTGTAATCCTTTTACCAGCAGTGCTGCTGCATGCGTGCTGTTGTCACACTGTCAATAGAGGGTAATTCCCAGCAAACAACCAGGCTTAGTCCACACATATATCTGCCCCTCCAAAAACTTGCATCCACACCACCTCGTTTTAAAAAGAAACTCTGTCCACACGTACCCGGATAAATACGTTGTTAAGGACATGCCAGACCTGTAGGCGGCAGTACTTCCCCCGTTCTTAACCTCGTCCTTCGTCTGTGGTCTTCCGCAAGGAGCAGTAATTCCTCTTGCAAAAACAAACAAGCAGAAAGCGCTTGGACAATTGATAAAGCGAGCGCAGCTCTGAAGGCTTCCATGATGTTGGCTAGTGTAAACACAGGTCGCACACATGATGTCAGCATTTTTTGTCGCGGAAAGTGACGTTGCGGACCTTAAAACTCCGGTTTTGTCTGTCCACACGCAGACACCCAAAACGGAGAAAACGCAGATCTTCACTTTGGCCGGAGTTTTTAAAAAGATCCGTTTTCGTGTGAAAAAACTCAGTTTTCGTGTGGATGGCAGGCCAAAACTTAGAAAAATATCTACGTTTTGGCAGATCCCCGGCTACGTGTGGACAGGGCCCCAGTCAACTTGAACGCTGCTCTCCCACTACCGGCACTTTCTTTGGCTATATTCTCTTCCTTGTCAGCTCAGGGGATCAGATTATTGGTCTTGTTGTTTCCTAAGACATTCCCTAGTATTTGACT